ACAACTAGACTACTGCCTATGTAAGTGTGTTAGAAAATGATAATTACTGTGACATTATGACCATAATGAAGTGAAAAACTGGCCCTTCATTTTATATATTGGCTGGTTACTGGTGAAGTGACTTTGGCGACATGTTTTCCACACTTTTGTATCTTTGATTAGGGGTCCTGTTTAAAAAAAAAACATCAACTAGACATTTAAAGCTGGAGATGACATACCCTTTTTATTTAAATAATAAAAACAACAGTGAAGTCAGCAGTTGCTGTTGACCTCTTCAGTGTATTCCCTGCATTTTCCTGCACAAAACCTCCAACTACTGAGCCGCTCTGCCACTCCTCCTCCATCTTGGTTTACAAAGCTTCTGTAAATCTCTGAGCAGACCCGCCTCTCTTCCCGCTGACACGCTAAACTTCACTATAATTAGAATATTTCTGAAGGGAGGGGGGAGACTCCGTCACGATTGTAAATAAACACACTGACTCCACCGCGTGCTCAGAGTGGCGCGCGCCGCTCGGTGTCCCGGATGATGCTCGCACCGGAAGAGAAGGGGGCAGCTCTCTCAGCCATCTTGTGGCAGCATCCAGCGATTCGGTCGCATCAAGCCTCGTAGAATCGGAGGTGAATCCCGTCGAAGGGGCGCCATCATGCCCGGACACTTGCAGGAAGGCTTCGGCTGCGTCGTGACCAACAGGTTCGACCAGCTATTGGACGACGAGTCCGACCCGTTCGAGATCCTGAAAGCCGCTGAAAATAAGAAGAAGGAGGCGGCCGCCGCTGGCTCTACGAAAACCGCGGCTCAAGCCGCAAAGCAGCCGAAGAAGGAGTCCCAGAAGGACAGGAAAAACCCACTGCTGGACAAAAAGGAGGAGTCTCAGGCGCCGGTTCCTCTGAAGAAAGAAGGTAATAGTTTCTTTTTTATTCTCGGCTGTCATGTGCGGCTTTGCTTAGCAACGTTAGCAGCTGCTGAGGTCAACATGGACCCTGGGCTGTTGTGTTTAGAGGACAGACGGATGAGGACCACAGAGCAGAGGGAGCCACACATGCGTGTTGGAGGGATTATGGTTGAAATGCGGAGGGGAAAGCCGGCATTGGAGTCCAGAGGAGGCTGGCTGGGTGTTTGTGTCGCAGATATGCTTTTTCCTCCAGCATCCGACTGGATGATGCTCAGTGAAAGATAAAACACCTGCTGCAAGGAATCCAAACAGTCCTCCTGCTTTCAACTTCTTTCAGCCTCCTTTTGTCTTACATGAATAGCTTAAATAAAAGCACAGTAGATTACAATATAATATGCTGGGGTTTGCTTTTGCACGTTAGTCATTATATTTATGGTCATCTCTGGATGTTGCAGGAATCAGGCGGGTGGGCAGAAGACCGGAGCAGCAGGGTCAGTCTGGATCCCAGCACCAAGGCGGGCAGGGAGAAGGACGACCTGCAGACAAGAGGCCGGACCGGAGACCTCCCCGGGAACGGCGCTTCGAGAAGCCCGCTGAGGAGAAGACAGAGGGAGGCGCAGATTTCCCTGTAGACAAGTGAGAAACTGATGAGCGATGACATGGGCGGTTCTAAAAGGGGGCCATCAGGGGCCAGTGTTAATTTTGTCAGCTTTTTTTTTTATTTAGTCTTACAGTGATGAAAATCAATTTGAGTCCAAGTCATATTTAGTTATTACCTTCCCAATTTAGTCTTAGGCTACGTTCACACTGCAGGTCTTGATGCTCAATTCCGATTTTTTTTTAATG